AGATTTGAACAGACCAACTCTTTCTATCTATGTAAATCAATCCACGGTTGTCTATCCATATACAATTTCCAACACAGCTATATGAATTATAAAATGCCTGATTTACCATTAAAAGGATCAGTGTCATATAACGGTGTAACGTGTTAGCTTCGTGATTTGTCTGTTCACAATGTAAACCGACCGAAAGGGTGAAGGATGGCTGGGTGAGGCTGAGATTACAGTCCATCCTCGATTTGAACGACCTAATGAGATGTATTTCAAAGTGAAATTCTTTGTAAAATTCAAGCATTTCCCGAATCATTGAGAGTAACTCCAATATTTTGTAAGTCGAAGCGGTTAACCTTAATCCTATTACCTAGACAGCCATGATCATCAGATCTCGGATTCCTGAGTGAATAAACATCATCCGACATTTTTCCGTTTACAAGTGGGTTTTCAAGGCTATGAGTCAATTGCTATATCAAATAAACTTTGTTTCATCGACAATCCCACCACAGAATGTGATATTGAAAAATGTCTGGCCTGTGACACAAGGGTACTTGTGGCAGTATGGCGTACTTGTTGACATGTTGAGATTATACATTGCACTATCACGGTTCGAGTCCCGCTTGGGTTGCCTTGGGGATCAAGGCAAGGTCGAAAGTGCAATCCACCTTGGATAAGAATATATTTGGGTGAGTAAGGGTATGTGAAATTCAGTGGAAACTTTCAGCGTTCCCACTCATATCAATGTGAGAAAATTCAACTAGCAGTCCTTCATTATCTTGACGAAATAGTGTAAATACATATCATTTGATAGTGTTTTGTAGACCACTGGTGGCTAAGTCGGCCAGGATCACGAAGTAACTTTCAATGAAATCAGAGTATTTCCTGATAATTGAGACCAAATAAATACCTACGTCATTTCGGTAAGGTTTGGAAAGTAATGGTAAATAGATGAATGCCTATTGTTGCCTATCCTGGTTAACGAAATATGCCTTAGAAAAAGGACTGATTTGTGATGGAATTCTTACTTCCTCTCTAGGTCAGACGTTCGAAGAACATTTAGCCTAGAGGGGACTTGCCTGCTTTTGGATCATAGTAGAATGGGTTTAAATCAAGGTGAAAGTAATTGGGTGTCACTTGTCAATTTTACTCTCATTCAAAACCTGTATTTTCATCATATTCACCGTTAGTATATATACTCAGTTAAAAATGTGATTATTCTCA